CATTTCTGAAATTAAGAAAATATACTATCCTTACTGAATTGTTAATCATGTCATCCGCTCAACAGCTCCCTCTGTCCCTAGACGAAGATACCTTCCCAATGCGTCAAGACGAGGCTATCTTGAGCACGGAACACTCTTCAACTGATCTGTTGGGACTTATCCACGAGCAAGCCCTAGAAATAAAAGACCTTAAAGCTAGGCTGAGTATATTCGGCGACCAGCTAGCCAACTTACAAGCTCTGCACCTAACGTCGGTCCCAACAACCTGTGCTGCGAATTCGGCTCTTAAGCTTTCGCAGCAAGAAATACTCGACGCAGCTAAAGAACTAAAGGTTTGCGAACAATGTGCCAAGCGGGTTATTTTCTGGAGGCGGTTCTCTATATCTGACACTTTAGAAAGCATATGTAAGCATATATGCAGCCTTCTACAACCGCATAAATTCAAACCCTTTAGCTGTGCCTGGCTAACCGCCANCTTCTTGTCAACATGGGGTCTTCCATGCTTGCCAATGATGTTCTCATCGAAGCTCCCACCCTTCAACGCTCCTGGTTAGGTTTAAGAGGTGTCTCCATAGATAAACCGCTGCATGTGAGACTTTCACAGCCCAAGCTGAAAGGTCCAAAAGTTGATCCTAGAGACGCCGAACTGTTGAGAAGCGCCTTCATCTCAGTAGTTCGGTTGGACTCAAAGGTTCTTAAGTCTCAACCCTCTTCCCCGGACCCCATACCCCTAGAGGAGACAGTCGTATGCCTTAAACCAATGGCGGCCAGCTCAGCAAACAACAGTTTTATAGAACACAATATCAATATGGGAATAAGAAGCAAAAGAAGCTGAAAAGTAAAAACAGATTAAACCCAGTCCTGTCCGCAAACTAGCCCTACCTAACACTAGAAGAGGGCTCCTCGGGGATCCTCCCAGTCGCAATCAGGTGCGTCTGGACACGCTGCGAAAGCTACCGGGGCCGATAAAGGACCAACGCTTCACCCAGTGAATGGTTGTTTCTGTGGTGTACCATCCCAGCTCGATAACGGCAACAACAGAGCAATTTTTTGGACGAAGGGTGCGACAGGTCGCCCGCCAGAGGGGCTGATAAAGAAAGCCCCACCGATGGTGAGATACCTTCCCAAGATAGCCCCCCGACCAACGTACGCTCAAACCGTACGTCGACCACCTCTAATGTCGCTTCCGACTGCTCAACCGGTCCCGCCTTTCTCCCTAACGGACTCAAGGACTTTGATGGACGCACATTTAAATGCATTTCTAGCAACTGTCTTAGCCTCCCAAACAAAGGTCTTGAACTAAAGCAACTTACCTCAGAGCAACGCCCCCATGTCATCACCCTCATTAAGACCTGGCTCTACGATAATGTTCTAGACGGGGAAATCTCCATTCCCGGCTTTACATTGTTAAGATCAGACTCAGCTTGGGGCAGAGCAGGTGGTGTCATAGCTTACTTTAGTTGCGCCCTCTCTCCTCCCTTTTCTTATTTCAGTCGACCCAATAGACCCAATAGAAACTTTATGAGTTAAAATCAGTTTCTCAAGGTTAGCCAAACTCCTACTTGGAGTCGTATACCGTCCTCCCCAGAGTTCTCCCATTGAAAGCCAACTACTTATTGACCAATTAAGGTCAATAAGTAGCACTCATCCTTTCACTCACCTTCTAATTACTGGTGATTTTAATGCCCCGAGTCTTGACTGGCTCAGAGCGTACTCTTCTGACCTTTCTTTTGGGAGTCCTCTTATTGATCTAGTACTGGGAAACTCCTGGACTCAACACGTGGACCTACGAGGTTCCGCCCAGGTCAGGCTCCTTCATTGCTAGATCTTATTATAACGAATGATGACAATCAGATCGACGTGGTAAATCACCTTCCACC